ACCCCTTTAATTACATTATCTCTCATTCGTATAATATCTATCTGAACTCCACGAACCCTTCACTGAATAGCTGGGATCTGAGCGCACAATCTGTCGAATCACCGCTCAGATCCGTTCGTTAGAATAGAAAAGCCATTCATGTAAAGTTATGGACCGGCCAGCCACGAGGCGAGAGCCCCAAAACAGTTCCAAGCAATTGCAGGCTTTGACCGGTCTTCTTGCGGGAGTTCTTACGAATTAACAGACGAACATACACCTTGATATACTGAATGGTCGTGTGTAGGAAGGTCGGTGGTTGCAGAATGGGACTATCTGCACGAACGGTATGGAAGTACAGCGGTGTTTGCGAGGTCAAGTGGCCGATTTTAGTTCCATGCACTCGACTTCCAAACACCGCTGGGCGTTCGTGCGCAAAGATGGCCACCGCTACGTGTTCGTTCATACGAACGGTGACTGCCCATTAAAGCATTAGGGGTTTGTGGTTTCCCTATGTTGCCAGTTCTTTATTGGAGGCACACGAGTCCCTTGTGTGGTCCTCCATTCGACAATTTATTCGTTTTCACAAACAGTATATCCCTATTCTGTTCGTGAGTTTAAATTAACAAAAGCACATAGTCTTTGCACAGTAAATAGACGCATGAACCCAGTTCTTGTAACATGAAGTGGCTAGTTCTGCCACAATATATATCTCAAAATACACTTATAATGAAATCATATATATGCATTATATATGTTTGTTTAATATATTATAAAATGCTTTAATTATATTATACATGTATTGGAAATAAGTGTGTGTGTATAATATATATATATATATATATATATATATATATATATATATATATATATATATATATATACACACACACACACACACACCACGACAATATTGTGTGTGTATATATATATTAAGGGGAGAACAAATAACGTAGTGGCTACTACAAAAGACTGGAAATACCCCATTTGAAATACCCTGGGTTGTCTACATTTGAAAAGGGTATGCCATGATGGGGGTTATTTCACATTCCTGGGCTAGCATATGGTCTCAAAAGGCAACACAGACGCAGCAAACCAATCTGGCAAACTGAATTGGGAAAGCCATGTATTGACCCTGTCCCTTTTCAAAATACCATAAAACCTGTACATGGGGGGTATTGTTATACTCTGGAGACTTCGCAGAACACAAATCTGAGTGTTTAAAACTGTAAAACTTATCACAACGAAATCACCAGTAAAAGTGTGTTTTTTTTTGTGTAAAAAAAACAAAAAAATGCAAAAAAAATTAAAACGCTAAATTTGGCTTGCGTTTTTGACGAAGTGGCTACTACAAAAGACTTGAAATACTCCATTGGAATACTGTTTTGTCTACTTTTACAAATGGTATGCCATGATGGGGTTAATTTTCATTCCTGGGCAACATAGCCCTAGCAAACCAATCTGTCAAATTTCAATGTGCAAACATGGGGAAAAAGGAAAGCCCTACATTTGACCCCTGTAGGTTTGCAAAAACCCACAAAATCTTTACATTGGGGGCAATGTTGTACTCGGGAGATGTTGCTGAACACTTAATGGGGTGTTCTTTGTCAGTAACACATAACAGGAACTGAGAATCCATGCCTAAAGTACGATGTGAGAGAAAAATTACACAAAAAAATGACTACCCAAACGTTTGCAAAAGACTGGTGGTAGAATTAGTGCATGGAAAGTGGTAAAATACCACCATTTGAAATACCCTAAGATGTCTATTTTTAAAAAAAATATATAGTTTGATGGGGGTAATGCGCACCCTCCAAATAAGGTCTTCTAGCCCCCAATGAACCTGACACACCTATACATGGGGGTATCACTGTACTCAGGAGATGTTGTTGAACACATATTGGGGTAATCTTTGGCAGAAACCCTTAAAGTTCTCGGTACGTTTATTCTTAAATTGCTATGTGTGTCAAAAAAATCTCAAACTATATATTTTTTTTTTTTTATTTGGCAAAGATTGATGGTAAAATGGTTGCATGAAAATAGTCAAAATACCCCAAGTTGAATACCTTAGGTTGTCTTCTTTTAAAAAAAATATATACATGTGAAGGGTTATTAAGGGATTCCGGACAGATATCAGTGTTACAATGTAATTTTGAAAAAAAATAAAATAAATGGTTTGGAAATAGCAAAGTGCTGCTTGTACTTATAGCCCTATAACTTTCCAAAAAAAGCTAAGAACATGTTAACAGTGGGCATTTCTAAATTCAGGACAAAATTCTGAAACTATTTAGCATGGGTGTTTTTTTGGCGGTTGTAGATGCGTAACAGATTTTGGGGCTCTAAGTTAAAAAAGGTTTTTTTTTTTTTTTTTAAATAAATAAAAATTAAATCATATATTTTTATAGTAAATTATATGATGATATGAAAATAATGGTATCTTCAGAAAGACCATTTAAGGGCGAGAAAAACGATATATAATATGTGTGGGTACAGTAAATGAGTAAGAGGATAATTACAGCTAAACACAAACACCGCAGAAATGTAAAAAGAGCCCTGGTACTTAAAGGGACACTCCAGGCACCCTGACCACTTCTGCCCATTGGAGTGGTCTGGGTGCCAACTCCCACTACTCTTAACCCTGCAAGTGTAATCATTGCAGTTTTTTTATAAACTGCAATAATTACCTTACAAGGTTAACTCCACCTCTAGTGGCTGTCTACTAGCTAGCCACTAGATGGCACTTCCATGTCCCTAGCACAGGAAACCTGTGCTAGAGCATCGCTGGACATCCTCACGCTGTGTGAGGACCTCCAGCGTTGCTCAATTCCCGATAGGAAAGCATTTTCAATGATTTCCTATGGGGAGCTCTAATGCACATGCGCGGCAATTAGGTCTCCCCGGCCGGTGGGCGGGATCTGTCTCGCCCACCGGCCGACTCAAAGGGAGGAGCGGCGGCAGAGGGAAAAGCAGTGACGTGGGACATGACGCTGCCTCTGCTAAGTTACTGAAGGGGTTTTCACCCCTTCAGCAACTGGGGATTGGGGGGTGGGAGGGAGAGGGTACCTGCATTGCCAGGAAAACGGATTATTTTCCTGGCACTGGAGTTTCCCTTTAAAGGGACACTCCTGGCACCCAGACCACTTCTGCGCATTGGCGTGGTCTGTGTGCCAGCTCCCACCACCCTTAACCCTGCAAGTGTAATTATTGCAGTTTATATAAACTGCAATAATTACCTTGCAGTGTTAAGTCATCCTCTAGTGCCTGTCTATCAGACAGCCACGAGAGGGACTTCCGTGGTCTTAGAACACGAAAAGTGTTTTAAATGACGTTGGACGTCCTCACAATATGCATGAGGACCTCCAGCGGCGACAGAATCCCCATAGGAAAGCCTTGAATAATGATTTCCTATGGAGAGGTCTAATACGCGCACGGCCATTGCTGCGCATGCGCATTAGGTCTCCCCCACCGGTTGATGTCAGCGGGGTAGGAGCATGGGCGGAGCCTGACCCAGCGCTGAGGGACGTCGGCGCTGGATTCAGGTAAGTCACTGAAGGCTTTTTTTTTTTAACGGTAAGAAAATTGAAAAATGGTCTGGTCACTAAGGAGTTAAAGAGCAGTTCACTCTGCTATTTGGACAGAAGCGCCTCTTGTGGCTGTCGGAGTGGAAGCCAATAGAGCCATTTAAACCCTGGACTATAACATTGCTGTTTTAGCTGCAGGGTTAAAACTACAAGAGCATAGCACCCAGAACACTTTATTGAGATGAATTGGTCGGAGTGCCTATAGTCTCTATTAATTGCAGTAAATCTACTTGATTCTTTAGCCATTTGCAGTTCTGCTGTAAGTTTTCTGGAAGGGCTTTAGGTGTCTTTTGGAGGTACATACATATTTGCAGTTAAACTAATGTAGGAATATTAGTATTATAGTTTTTTTTTTTTTTTTTTTAAATCAATATGAAACTAACCTTTTTAATACCTGTGGTTTACCATAGATGTGCCATTTGAAACATCGTGCTGGGGTTAATGGAAATGGAAGGTGCTAGGTATGAGTAACTTGCAAAATGAATGTATCTAGCGTCACAGAAGAAAATCCTCTAGTGTTTCATGTTATACTTAAGGCACTTTAATAGGTTTTATAATTGTATATGAATATACATGTCCAGGCTTTTGTTATAGGGTTCAGCACTGACTTGATGGATAGCTCCTTAATGAGAACATTGTTACTCGGAACTGATAAACAGAATCTCCGTTTACCGCGGACCACTTTTACATGCGTACATGTACTCTTGTCGAAATGTCCGGAAAAGGGAGACAACCATAGCCAATCAGATCGGAGATTTTAAGCGTTGCCTCATCACTGTCCAATCTGCGTATAAAGCTTTTGCTGTGGGGTGGAGAGTTTAGTGTGATGGTTTACGGAAAGTCAGAATCACCGGGACCAGAAAGCGGCCGGGGTGGACATTGGAAAGCTCCTACGGTCAATAATTCAGTATGATTATTCTGGCATTTCTGTTACATGTATATACACAGCTGAAACTCTCGATGCTCACCCATAGTTAATGGAAGGTGTGTAGTCAAACCTGTCCTGTGAATTAGGAAACCTATGTAGTTGGTGGGTAGCCTAGCGGTACATCGCCAGCTGTTCATAACTAGAACTCCCATGGTGCTTTTTGACATCTATTGATTCAAACTCGCTAGTGGGGTTTGCGTGGAAACGAGCCATGCTAACAAGGTTGCCATCAACAATCATAGCGTCCCTGCACACACTCACACCTGTCACACACAAAGATACATACAGATGCAAACTCACAGACACAAAACCTAAAAACATTGTGTGACCGGCAATGATTTTTTGTGTTCTCAGACACACACAAAAACATTGCCTGTCATACACAAAGATACACTTACAGTTATACACTGTTCGACACATCCCAGATATGCCACACACAGAGGCACACATTGATACACTACTATGACCTGCCACACATAGACAGTGATAGTTCATATATTCAGTATCCTCCTGTTCGCATACATATTGTGTGCAGAAGGGAGACTTTATGGGGTCCAGTTGAAATAGGCACGAGCAACAGTCTTTTAGCTCCTGTTCCTATGGAGAGCTGGCTAGAGAAGGTTATTGGCTCATGTCTTGCTTGTGGTCCAGTTGGAGTATTCTGGAGTAGACTGTCAGCTCCTGTCTCCTCTGTGTGAGTCTTTATGCTCTGGGAAACCGTGGTTCAAATCATATTCTCCTAATTTAACACTCCTGTGCAAGGGAATAGCTTAGTCCAGGGACCCTGGCTCATGCTGCTTCTAAATGCAGTCCAGTTTGTAGCGTTTAAGGGCCTCTTTACTTAGCTACTAAATTGCATCGTATTCGCTTTAAATTCCCCAATGATCGCCCTCCCATCTAGTCCGTGACTTATTTATTTATTTATTTTTTTATTATTTTTTTTAACTAGTGTTAACTTACAAACCATTCCTACTTGCAGCCCACTAGAATCTGTTAGTACACAATACTTACTAACTGATCTAACTGATTTGTTTAATAGTAGTATAGAGTGGAAAATGTGCACTGCACATTAGTACAAATGTTCTCCAAACAGAGGTAAAGATAGATTTTATATTAAATTAGAAACGTTTTATTTATTTTTATAAAACATGCGATCTATAACAAACACAGTCCTATTCTATGCATATTTATTTTTCAGTAATGACATATGTTTGAAGGGTTACTACAAGGACCATACCCACTATATCCTTATGAATGCCAGGAATGGACTGGCTCCCAATAAGGGGACCATTTTCCAATGCTTTATCACTTACTTGGTTCCTGCTGGACATTTCTCCTTCTCCATCCCTGAATATTATAGTTAAAGCCCAGACCTGTCACATATGGGTGGTGCTGTGATGGGGACATAAGGCTACCCAACTTCCAAATATAACAAAGGTGAACAGAAAGAAAAAAGGAAACCGCGCCCTTATTGTGATACGTAAATACGTACTCGAGTCCTTATGGTCATATACTTGCAATAATGTACCTCAAAAAAAGAAGAAATATACAAATAATAGTGTAACACTGTTAATATTCCGTAAGTGAGCAAGAAGTAAATAGATGTACACTCACATCTTGACCAATAATATATTGGAGGATATGAATTATGTTGTCATAATTCATATCCTCCAATATATTATTGGTCAAGATGGCGCCGCGTCACTTCCGGTATGACGCGCGCGCGAAAACCAGGAAACAGTAAGTAATTTTCAAACACATGAAGATAATTGCTTTTAGTTTGATTCCCTATATATTTGGACATTAAAAGGACTCTATCCACACTTCTGAAGAAGCCTCTACAGGTGAAACGCGTAAAGTGGATTTTTATGGACTTTCTCATAGAGTGTTCCTTATTTGTTTTTATTGATTTTTGTATATAATAAACAGTTACTATTTTATATATTTTTATCACTCTGAGATATCCATTATTACATTATTTTTTTCCTGGTTACCATCTTAATCCTTGGTGGGGATCATACCACCTACACCTTATATACTAGAGCGAGGCACGCTCTAGTAAATGTGAGTACAATACTTTATATTTATCCATTATCTCAAAGAGATTCTAGTACTTCCTATACTATGTGGATTCTTCTGTCTATTTGTGTGTTCTTTATTTGAGACCATCAAGACGTGGACCACTTTACATTTATCCTAAGACGGGGATTATTCCGTCTATGCGCAAGAACAGTAGAGCTCTGTTTTTAGCTCTGTCACATGTGAGTGTACATCTATTTACTTCTTGCTCACTTACGGAATATTGACAGTGTTACACTATTATTTGTATATTTCTTCTTCTTTTTTTGAGGTACATTATTGCAAGTATTTGACTATAAGGACTCGAGTACGTATTTACGTATCACAATAACGGCGCAGTTTCCTTTTTTCTTTCTGTTCACCTTTGTTTTATCACAAGGTAGGGAATCCTTGTGTGGTCACTGCTGCCCACTCCCTATTGTATCTATCACTATAGTGAGCGCCTAATCTTATCTGTTTTTTATTCCAAATATAACAGTCTGTACCCTTTGGGTGCGAGGGGAGCACTATGTCCCCCTCTTTAATTAGTAACCCACACTCGCTGGCCATGGGTGGGGGCATTAGGATGTTCCTCCTCCCTCACTTTTTTTATTTATTTATTTTAATCCGGACACCAAATGCATCCAGGTGATTGTTGCAGATTGTCTCAGGCCGATTGGATTCCAACCTGATTTGGCTTTAGTGAATATGAGAATTGCCATTCTTGTCGGAATGTCTCCCTTTTCACCGGATTTTGTCCATCCAAACAAAATTAGTGATTAGTGAGTAGCCCTGTCAATAATCACAGTGCTTGGTATAACCCTTTAGCATCAAAATAAATTTTCCAAGGCCAAAACCTTTGAACCATCATTGTTTTTGAGACAGTGGTATGATGAATTTTATCGTATACATGCTTTGATTTCTTAAATGATTTCAACTTTGACGTGTAGAATGAGCTAGAAGGACATGCTAATTCACCGTGCTTATTAATGTCTGTTTTACATAATTTGGAACTGTGAATTATTGCATAATACAATTGAAGGGTTGTGTAGACATCATGTTAATCCATGAGATGAAATAGATGTATGAATGTCAACAGGTCAACCAGATAGCAATTATTTTCCCCTTAATGACCACTTTGAGCACATAGATCATTTCATCCCATTGAAGTGGTCGGGGTTCACTGCTCAAATGTTTAAATTGCAGAGTTAAGGTTGCCTTTAGTGACTGTTTATCAGACAACCACTAGAGTCTCTTCCTGCAGTTTCACAAAGTTTGACTCAAGGAAATGACCCTGGACGTTCTCACAGTGCATGAAGACATACAGCATTTTGCAAATCCCCATAGGAAAATATTGATGCAATATGTTCCTGCATGCGCATTAGGTAGACATCTGAAAGTAAGCTCAGCAAACCTGCTCCATGCTCAGAATCTGTCTCTTCTAGGTCTTGTATAATTTTCTCTGGCAGCAGATATTTCATCTGCACCTGCTGCAATCTTTAATTCTGAGTAGGTGGAATCTGTTGCAGATTAGAAATTCACAAGCTCTTGAACAATTGTAATCCACTTGTATCAATGATTACTCAAACTCCACAGATCATATTTAGAAGATTTATTTTTGTTAGTGCAGGTAGTAAGTTGGGCAACAATGTGTTTGAACAGAGGCATAATTTGTTCTGCATAACAGATCTCACATTGTACTCTCATCTGCAGTGGCGGGACTACCGCCGTTGTGGCTGCAGGGGGCCTGCAAGCTCAGGTGGGCCCATTGGGTGGCACATGCCCTTACAGCCACCCGATGGGCATGTTTTCTTTATGTGAAGTCACTTCCTCTCAGCTTACCAACAAGCTGTGCGAGAGAAGGCGTGATGGAGGACAAAGAACAGCCAGGAGCAGGGAGAGCCTGGACCAGACTCCCATCAGACTTATACAGATGCTACTGGACCCCAGTGAAGCCACCCTCCTACATCAAAAACATATGGAAGCAGGGCGTGGTTAAAAATATGTAATTTGTGATATTTGTATGAATATGTTGTGTGTGTGTGTGTGTGAGAGCACACATGTGCATCTGTGTGTGTTTGTTTCAGTGTGTATATGCGGGGCATAGTATGTGCATACATCCAAGCACATTTAAACACAAACACTACACAAGTACACAACGGCATTCAAATAGCAACAGTACATACAAACATAGAACTGCATTCAAATGCCAACACTGCAAACAAATACATATATACATTCAAACACACAAAACATGCTTTCATTCAAACACTGCTCACAAATACAGCGCTACAAGTATGGTGTCAGGCCGTATCTGGTCCGGCTTCGTTCCGGCGTTTCCGGTATGCGGAACCGGCTCCGCCCCCTTCCTGACGCGGCTCTATAGAGACGCTTTATAGAGAGACCGCGCCCGGTTCAAGGTGCTTGGTGATTTCGGATGTTACTTCCGCATTCAACGCCGGCTAAGCTTCTCTTTGTTCCTAACGTGTACCGAACCTTGGATTGTTGTAACGGACTTTTGCCTTCTCATTGCCCTATGACCACGGAACGTATTGGATTTACCAAATCTCTACTTGTTCCCTGGAAACCGGACTGTTTATGTCAAACATCTTTTGTACTCAATTTATTCAGTTCCATGGAGGACAACTCCCATCAATCTTAAATATACAATTTACTTCTATCTCTGAAGGTCTACTTTATTAATGAACTTTTTCTTGCTTGCTATAACCTTCATTTACTAAAATACTATTGCAATCATTAAAGCCTTTTCTTTTCCACTAATTGCCTGCAACCTCCACCTCGCTTTAAGGCTATAGTAACCTTATTAATTTAAAGGATTTCTCCTCTTTTTGCTATTGTAATTAAGGAGTTTTACAAGCTGCAGTTGAGTTCCAAATCCAAAACCTCTTGTGACATAACAGATGGGCACATGTATTTTACTACCTTTGCCTTTTTGAAGACTCTGTAGAAATGGCACTGCAAACATACATCTTTCCTCCTCTACTTCTAATTGCCAAAGTAAGACTACTTTGTATGGGGGTCATGATGATCACTTTACCCTGGGCTGGGAGGATATGGTTTCCTGAACTTCAAATTCTTTTGACTTTCCTTCATTATCCCTTATGGACAAAATAAATCCTGTTTTGAGTTATGTCCAAAGATCTCCTTTTCATAAGTCTCAACCTAAAATGCACAGAAGCTTGCTAAATGGAGAACCTTAAGAGAATTTGTCATTTTTGTGGGCAGCAAAAAGGGGAAAGCATTATGCAAACAGTATTATCCTTGCCATTTTAACTTATTTCCAGGCTGGACTCTGCGAGCTGCACATTTAACAATACCAGTAACCACTTTATGGGCAGAATATTGCAGAGCTACACATGACCAAATCTGTTATGCAGCAACCTGGTTCATTGTCCATATTTCCTATAAACATTACTGTTTAAATATGTCTACTAGATCATGGTCTAGCCTGGGGCACAAGTTTTTCATGATGCTGTTAATTTTGCCCACCCAGTTAGCAAACAAGTTCATGCTTATGATTTTTATGTTTTGTTTTGTTAATATTCTGGCCTCACAAAGAGCTTATACCTCTCTAAACTGACACATTCTAAAAAAAATAAAATAAAATAAAAAAAATAAAAACAAACACTAGAAATTAACTATATATCTGTTAAACCATAATGTACATCTTGCATATTAAGTGCACCCAGACTTATATATACTTTTGTTTAGAAGCACAGGACTTTCATTTCATAATCTAATATTCATATATAAAACATAATTTTGTATGAATAAAATCTAAAAGAAGTGGGAGAAATTAAGAAATATTCTTAGTTTGGCATGGCATTATAACTGTGAATGTCACAATACTGCTTTTACCTCAATAAAACACACATATTTGTGTTCAACAATGTCTTACGAGTACAAGAGTACCCCCCATGCACAGGATTTACAGGGTCAAATATAGCACGTTCCCTTTTTTAGTTTATACACATTGAAATTTGCCAGATTGGTTATGATGCCTTTGAGACCGTATGGCAGCCCATCGTGGCATACCATTTGGAAAAAGAAGACAATCCAGGAAATTCAATATGGGGAATGCAGACATCCCAAGTCTTTAAGTAGTTCCGGGAGACTCACACATTTTGAATGCGGCTCCCTGACACCTTCAAATCATATATAATATCCTGGAAATTACACACACAATTTGTGTGTGTGATTTTTATTGTATTCTACAGGATTTGCAATGGCGGGGGGGAGGGCAACTTCCTGAAATGCTTTTTTGCAAGTTGGGATAGCTGGGTATGTCCAGTCTTTTCAAGTAGCCACTTAGTCAAAAACACTGATGATGTTATCAGCATTATACATTTTACTGCTCTAAAACACTCATATTTGAGTATATGTATATTTAAATTTGACTTTTGTATTTATGTAAATCTATATATTTTCTACAAGAGCTAACAATTTATAATCCAAGGCAGTATAAGGAGTATAGCAATCCTCAGAGTGAATATAGCTGTCCCCTCCACACATGAGGCAAGGTTTTATGTTGAAAGTGTAGAGCATCTGTTTAATGGCAGCCACAACTGCCTTGTATGACGGTCCCCATGCAAGGAGTTTACTATGACACATTCCATGGGCACTCCCCACTGGCCCTACTATGACAAAGTACACACTATAATGACATTGACTCTCAGGTCCAGGACACTCCCACACAAAATAGGATAATCCCTCCCCTGTGCCTGAGAGATAATTGAGTCAGGAACTGTACTAAACTCAATTATCTCTAGGCACAGAAAACATACATTTTACAATATCCCAAAAGTACCGCCAAAACACGTTGAAACCCCACGATAGCCCTGATCTGTGGGACCAACATATCCAAAAATCACCCAGATAGGTTCAGGGGTTCAGGATTTCCATGGAAGTCATAGTTTTGACCGATCGTGCACATGGTCCTAAGCCCAAAACAATTCCAGGGAATTAGGGCTAACGGTCGGTCTTTCTTTCTGGAGTACAAAAGTACATAAATCACATAAGTTTTTAAGGGCCCATAGTCTTTTGGCAAGAGGCTGGACAGCAGCCCCCTCCAAGAGCCCGTGGCGAGGTTACTTTCGACACATCTATTTTTATTATTTTTAAAATAAGGTCTCACAGTAATGTCTCAAGAGTAAAACAGTACCTTCCATGTCCAGATTTTACGGTGTTTTGGTGAGTTACAGGGTCAAATATAAAAATACAAGACTTGGTTATGTGGCCTTGTAGCCACTTAGTAAAACTTATCATTAACTTTGGCCAGGGTTTATAACTATTTTGAAACACTCATATTTATTTTCAGCAAAATCCCCCATGTACAGGTTTTATGGTGTTTAGTAATGTTACAGGGTTGAAAATAGGGCTGGCAAAAAGGGCCGGCGCTTCCTTAAGGCGGCACAAGCTGCCGACTTAGGGCGCACCGGCCCAGGGGGCGCTAAATTGGAGTGACTGGCAGGAGATGGGCGGAAGGCGCTCCCTCCTGCCAGGTACACTGTGTAGCATGGCTAAGCGGAGCAGTGCACGCCACGGTACAGGAACTTATGTTTCCTGTACCCGGCCGGACTGAAAGGAAGTGCTCACTGAGAGAGCACTTCCTGTCAGTTCCCCTAGGTACAGGAGACTGAAGCTCGGCCGGAAAACTATGGGAGGGGGAAAAGAATGCTATAGGGGAGGCGGGGAAGAACGCTATGGGACAGGGGAAGGGGAAAAGAACGCTATGGGACAGAGGAGGGGGGAAAAACTATGGGACAGAGGAGGGGAGAAAATAATGTTATTGCAGGGCGAATAGAATGCTATGTGTGTTGGGGAGGAGGGGAGATGAAAATTGGGGGGGACACTAAGGTACAGGGGAGGGGAGGGATAATGAACAGTGGGGTACGGGAGGGGAACACTAAAAGAGAAGGAAGAGGAACAATAAGATGGGTGGTGAGTGGGAGGGACATTAAGGGGAATAGGGGGACAGGTAAGGGGGAGGGAAGATGAACACTAAGGGACAGGGGAGGGAGGGGAGAGGACCACTAATGGATATGGAGAGGAGGCGAGCGGGGCATGGAGGGAGAGGGGAGAGAAAGACACACAGATGGGTCTAGGGGTGAGAGTCCACAGAGGGGCTGGGGATGAAAGCACCACACAAAAGAGCCTGTGAGTGGAAATACAAAGGAGTTGGGGGTGAAAGAGACATATAGGGGCTGGGTAAGAGGATAAAGAGACACAGACAGGATGGTGGTGAAAGTGAAACACACAAAGGGGCTGGGTAAGAGTAAAATACATAAAGGGGCTTTGAGAGAAGGAGACACAGAGACTGGGGGTGAATAAGAAACACAAAAGGGGGGGTCATGTCTAAATAGGGGCATAAATTCGCAGAATGAAAATATAATTTTGCCTCTTTATAAATCGCTGGTAAGACTACACCTTGAAATACTGTGCAATTTTGGGCACCTGTTCTATAGGATATCATGGCACTAGAAAAAGTGCAGAGACAAGCTAAAATTGATAAAAGGAATGGAGCATTTTAGTTACCAAGAAAAGTAAAAAAAAATGAAATCTCTTTAGTTTGAAAAAACGGTGCCTCAGGGAATATGATAACATTATACAAATATATTCAGGGCCAGTACAAACCATTATCTGAAAGTCTATTCATAAACAGGGTTATACATAGGACACAAAGTCACACATTTAGGCTGGAAGAAAGGAGATTTCATCTAAGGCAAAGAAAAGGCATCGAGCTGTTACTTACCTTTACAGCAGCTCCCCTGTCAACTCCGTTCCGCTCACAGTGTAAGTCTTGCGGTCTGCGTGCTGCGCGGAGCGTTGCCACGGTAACCCGTGGCAAGGCTCTGACGGCCGCGGGTGTCATGAGACTTACACTGTGAGCAGAACGGAGCTGACAGGGGAGCTGCATGGAGCTGACAGGAGCTGCTGTAAAGGTAAGTAACAGCTCGCTGTCAGCCCCCAACAGGACCGCCGGGCTTGTAATGAGCCCGGCGGTGCTGGTCTGTATTATGGCAAGGTAAGTTGCCATAATGCAGACATTGACTCGAGTGTAAGCCGAGTGGAGTTTTTTCAGCACAAAAAACGTGCCGAAAAACTCAAGTATATACGGTATGTATATTTAGATTCTACATGTGCATTTATGTAAATATATTTTCTATTTTTAGTGTGTGTGTGATTTCATTCTAAGTGTACTTTTACATGAATATTAGTG